AATCATAGACTTTTTTTGTTTTGATGTTAGGAATCGATGGAGTTAGTCTGATTTTCGACTGTGTTTCTGTTATCGTTTCGTTGTCTGCATACACAACTGATTGATTATCACTGACACAATATACAACTGCTACTAGTACAATGCTTGTTCTAATCTAATAAGCTGCCACTTTAACAGATCACTGATTCAATTACCATTTATGTTTACAAATCACATTGGTAATTTGTATTACTCTATTATTCCTGATAAACATGATCGTGGATTATGTCTATGGTATTTGGAACTAATTGATTATTGATAAAAATTATAGATTACGAGACCTGAACTGCGAATACACTTTTAACTGACAATGTAAATAACGTGCTAGTTGATACTCATGAATAAGATGTATGTGAAATCTTGATGGAACTGGCAGTTGAATCCGAGTTACGCAGTCTCTCACAGTCCAAGATGGTACCATATCAGTCAGTCATTCAGCAACAATGTAGAACTTCGTACGTACGTACGTACGTAGTACGTACACAAGTTCAAGTTACCATACCACATTAGCACAGAGACGCAGTAGTGGTAGAATTAGTAGCAGCATTAGCGGTGATGAAGATTAGGTTTCGAAAATAGTATAATTCAGTGAAGTAAATTTAAAAAGAGAAAGATATAGGTAATGAGAAATTCAAAAGATTAGAGCCACTGCATACGATTTCGAACCATGCCATCCAAAGTCTCTAACCATCGGTTACTCTGGTCTCGAGGACTCCAATCCGGTAGTCTACAGCTACTAACATGGATTAATCCACTTGTCAGTGACTTCATGGATTTGTGTCATATTATGGTTTGGTCGCCCCTAGCTTTCTTCCAACCTACTCCTACACCACAAAACATAGCTCATCAAGGCTGTTGATGTATAGGCACAGGTAAAACATGTCCCAATCACTTCAACTGATGAAGAAGCACAACTAAATCTATTGATCTGCCATCCTTACCTAGCTATCTATTTAGCTATTCAGGTACCGATTGATCTCCTGCCAGATCGACCAATCAACGAATATCCAGTAGATTCAGGGTGTTTAACACAATTCATTCCTCAATTTGTGCATTTCAGTCTACTTAGTAACATGAATATTTATCATTAGTGTACCAGTAAAGCGTAAAACAATATTTTTTAAAAACAAATAAAAAATTGAATTACATTGTCAGTCAATAAGTTACAACATGGAACATTGTACGTAAGTAAATCAGTTGAAGTTGCTATACCACATTAGTACAGAGAGATACACGATTGTCAATTCAAATCCTATGATGGTTTAGGGTTACGGTTTGAAGATATTATTCAGAAAGTATAATCTAGTCAAATAAACTTAAAAAGAGAAACACAAATATGATGTAGAATCCAGAGGATTAGGATTATGTGAACAATGACAACAACAACAACAAACTCACTTCATTCAATAAATCAATTCGTTGCAACTCCATTAAATGTTAAAATTCAACATTATTATTATCAATGCATGAATTTGATAACAGGATATAATCATTGAATCGATCGATAATTTGACGAACCCATGTGCATAATGCAAGTAAACCACATCTTATAGATGTACCGAATAATTTTTCAATGTATTCTTGACGAACATCTATAAGAATGGAGAAAAAAGTTTACGAAAGTGTTTGTTACTCCACCTGAAGAACTCCAGGGGTTACTGCAAGTTCCAAGCCCGAATAAAGGAAGAGGGTTGGGGATCAGGTTGGAGACCCCATCCTGAAAACAACCAACTCGCGAAGAGAACATCCGCCAGAAAACTGATGGTTAGCGATCGATGCTCTATGAGGGATAACAAGAGTAGGCATGTAAGTACGCTGGAACTTACTTTCCAGTACTGTTCAATTTTGTTCGTTCTTATCATGTCTGTCTCCATTTCTCAAAGTAATGTGTTCCTTAGCCTTCCTTTTTTCCTTTGATCTTGAGGGTTCCAAGTGACAGCTTATCTTGTGACGCAGTTGGGTGCTTTCCTCAGTGTGAGTTCTATCTACTTCCACCGATTCTTCCTGATTTCTTCCTCCGCTTGAATTAGGTTTGTCTCCTCACATAGTAGATTGTTGCTGATGGTGTCTGGCCAACGGACTCGAAGTTTTTTGCGTAGAAAACTGGTAGTAAATACTTGTATCTTCTGGATGATGGTTTTGGTAGCTCTCCGAGAAAATGCACAAGTCAATATATACTGAGGAAAAACAAACGCTCAGAAGAACCAGAAATATATCCTTTCGCTTTTATAACTCTCCACCTACCTCCTTCAACAATTCAATGAAGGAATGCGGAAATTCTGTTACCATTGAAGATGTAGTGAATGCTAATCACAGTGAAATGTAAGTAGTATGTGGCGTAGCGGTGTCTAGAAGTGGTTACCAGATAGAAATGCATGCCATGATCAGTGTAGTTTGGAGACAAGAAGATATGTAGGAGAGATAGTCAAAAATGGATTTGTTTCGCAAATGGATGTTCGAAGATACTTTCTTACATGTTACCCTTCATGGAGCTAAGGCCGCCAAGCAGCATTCTCCAACCTGATCTGTCCTGGGGCTTTCTTTCCAGTTCTAACCGATTGCTATCCATTCTTTTCATGTCTGTTTTTCGATTCTCGGCTCAGTGTGTTCTTTGGTTTACCTCTTTTCCTTCAGCTTTGAGAGTCCTAACTGAGAGCTGGCATCGTGATGCAAATGGATGCTTTTCGCAATGTGTCCTGTCCACCTCCAGCGTTTTCTCGTAACTTCTACCTCAGCTGGAATCTGCTGTTCTCTCTCATAGTAGACTGTTGTTGGTGGTACCTATCTGACCAACGGATGCGAAGTATCGTGTGTAAACAAACGTTAATAAACACTTGTATCTTGTGGATAACGGCTTTTGTGGATCTCCAAGTTTCTACTTCATACAACCAAACGGTTTTGACGTCCACAATGAAAATTGTGACTTTTAAGTTGATTAACAAAGATCTAAACAATGCCCTTGCTTTGCCAATCTATGTCTTTACATTTGCATCAGATCCATCTTGTTTATCAATAATGATACACAAGTATATAAAGGTTTCTACATCTTCCAATGTTTATCCGTCGAATGCAATTTCGTTGGTGTATACTGTGTTGTATCAAAGGATCTTGCTTGTCCGTTGTGTATATTGACCGCATCCGGGTCATTGTGATTAATTCTGAACCATATTACCCAACGTGAAAATTCTAAATGAACTAACTTTTTACTTAAAGATGTAAACAAAATAACAATCCTAGTGTTTATTGAAGACTATACTGATGAAATGTAACAAGTGAAAGATTTTAAATCAACTAGAATGATATGACCGACTTTTTTCTACCAAAAATTGACATCAGTTAGACAACTAATGAAAACAAACCAGCGATGGACAGATATCTCATCCTAAGATGAGATTCTTCAGGAATGTACGCCAACAACACAACCACTAATCGAGCTTGGGATCTTTAGATTATTGAGTTGACATTCAGTGGATTATACCTCTGATGTTACACAATTCGTGATTCACTCTATCATCAACTGCTACTGGTAACATTTTTCTCACGACCCGGTTAGGGTTGAACTCCACTGACTACAGACTTACAGGACCTACTTCTCTAATTAGTTGGTCACTAATACGTACACGATAATGAGTTATAAAATACCAGTTAAATATATGTGACTATGAATATATTTGTACAGAAAAAAGACACTTTTTACTATGGTTTACTGTAATAAATAGAGTACCTTACCTGTTGATGCAGTTGAATTACATTGTTGATCACCAAAGTCCCACCATTGGTCACAACAATGTCCACCAGGCCAATGTTTTTGAGATATCATTTGTCGCCAGAGACGAAGAAAACTAATCAATGGTTTCAGAGTTACAACAGTACGATTCTTAATCAAATTCTCTATGCCATTATTAGGATTAGAAGATTTAAATTGATAATTTGTGGTCATTGTAAAATTAATTGATTCATGAGCTTGATTGAAACAAGCTTCTGATGTTAGGATAATACAATTCAACAATTGAGGAAAACATGTGTTCAATTCAGCACTAAAGTTAACAAAGTGTACAGAAATACATTTTTAATAGTCAACAAATATGAACTACAAGGAAGTGATGGCAAATTTTTTTATATTGTCTTACGTAACAGTTCAATTATCACTATCACCCGACCGTAGCTGCTACCTTGACGTGGTGATCGAGCTTGCCTATCGTGACGACCCAACCGAGCTATACTGGCTGGAACATATGTTCCTGAAGGTTCTACAATGCCAACCAGGTCGATTGAGGAACGATGAGACTAAAAGCCGCTACACAAGGTCTGGGGGTCGTACTGTTGACTGCAGAGGGCTGTGACAGCATTAAGGTGTTTCCCTCGGACAACCAGCATCTGCAGCGATGCTGCCTTCTCACAAGGAAAGAAGGGTTAGAAAATGTCAACCCTAAAAATGTCACACCTCACCCTACCTGACGGATTTCCGTCTCCGTCGGTAAGGGTGCCCACTAAGGGCTTTCAAGAGCGGAGCTAATACTCAAAAATCCCTTAATAAAAGGCCGTGTTTGACCGGCCTCAAGCAGTTGTCCCTTGGGCTCTGCGGTCACGCACCCAGGTCTCTAAGACCAACGATTCTAAAAATGTCGCACCTCATCCCACAGATTTACGTTTCCTGCAGTGAGGCCTTTTGAAGAGCGGAGCTAACACGCTAAAAACTTCTATTAAATAGTCCGCCGTGTCCGACTGGCCTCAAGCAGTTGTCCATAATGTTCTGGGATCACGCTCCCAGGTCGTTAAGATCAACACTGATTCAATTCCCTTTTCATATTCCTCAAGAAGCATTGTTCCATGGTGCGAGCAGCCTGGAAGTAACATCCTTCCTCATACGTATAACAGCACATAAAATAACCAACAAGAAACTATTCATACATAATTCATGAAAACCAATATGGTTAAATTCCACGAAATAATACACTTACACATCTGTTGTATTCACAACGGAATCAGCAGTCTTAGTTTTCAATAGATTTTGATCAGTTTTAATGAAAACTGCAAACACTGAGGCTAAATCTAAACAATCAGTAATCAATGGTAGAACAATTGATAACAATGAAATGTAACTTTTTTGTTTTGAAGAAATAGACTGAGATTGTTTGAAAGATGAATGATCAATTGAACATGTGATATTTGTAGTATTATCACCAATAAATTCATTTTGTACCACAGTTGATTTTGTTGTTGTTGACGATGATGATGATGAATTTGAATTTTGTTCCTCTTTCATCATTTGACTTAAACAAGAGAAAAAAATAAATGAGAACAGAGAAAAAGTATGACTAAGACAATGACAATCAGTCAATCAATCAACAGCAAAGTAGAACTTTGTACGTATTTATATCATTTCAAAGTGCCATACAACATTAGCGCAGAGGTGTCATTGTCACTTCAAATCCCATTGTCGTAGAGATAGTAAACGTATTAACAGTAGTCGGAGAGATTAGGGTTCGAAGATATTATTCAAGAAGTATAATCCAGTGAAATGAACTTAGAAAGAGAAAGAGGTGATAAGGAATCCAGAAGTTTAGGATTTGCGACAACACAAAGAGTGGATGCACCGGCGCCATTGCAAACGATTTTGAACCATGTAATTCAGGGTCTCTAACCATTGATTACTATCATTTCATGGGCCCCAACCAGGTAGTCGACACCTACCAACATGACTCAGTTCACTTGTCAATCACTTCATGGATTTCTGCCATGTTTTGGTTTGGCCGGCCCTAGCTTTTGTCCAACCTATTACTACACCACAAAATATAGCTCGACGAGGCAGTCGGTGGTTGGGTATATGTAACACATGTCCCCGCCACCTCAGCTGATGACGTTTCGATACTTCATTTATTGACCTGCCATCCTTACCTAGGACCCGTTTCCTAACGACACCATTGCTTACTAAGACAAAAGTAGTTAGTAGCTTTAAGTAATGTAAATTATTGGAAGTATTAGTAAGAGTTTGTAGCTGACTGAATGACTGAGTAAGGGTCTGTCAGTCAGTCAGTCAGATGCAACATAGAACTTCGTACGTAAGTACATCAGTTCATGTTGCCATACCACATCAGTACAGAGATATAATTGTCAATACAAATCAAATATTAATAGAGGTAGTAAAGGTATTAGAAGTAATCGAAGAGGTTAGGATTAGAAGATATTATTCAAGAAGCATGATTCGGTGAGAGAGTAAGGGTCTGTGATTATCCTTTGTTGATAATCAGGACTGCAACTGACTAATCTTTGCTGAGATATTTTTAGATTCTGATTAGCAGTGGAATCTAAGACGTGCTTATTCATTTCAAACACGTGAAGAAAATGAGCAATGAAGATGTGAATGACGCGTGAATATCTACGCACCACACCAAAATCATTGAATTGCTGTATGGGATAAAATACTGTCCATCTGCCCAATAAGGCACTGAAGCAACATCAAGAAATGCAGTCCCGTGGTAGCCAAGGAACAACCGCAGGTTCACATTCTATTTTTTTCCCAGAGACTGTATGCACTATTGGTACTGGGGTTTGGAATCAGAGTTTTCCAACTCTCCTAAACAGATCATTCATATCTATCAAGCCAGTAAGTGCATTGGAAACAGACTCCCCTCACTTTTGATCATACCAAAAAATCCAGTATCAATTGTTTTCAAAAAGACACACACATTTTATTGAATTCTCAACATCATTAATCATTAAACTATTTCCCCATGAATAAAACATAAAACAATAATAACATCAATATATTCAACTTACAAAAACACATCTGCAAGTTTATTAATAAAACGTGATAATACACTAGCAATACTTCGAATAAGTATTTGAAATTCTTTAGTAATATTCCATACACGACTATCATCATTATGTATAATAAAGTTATTAGTAGTACTGATTTCATGAAATGCTTCAAATGTAATAGGACAATAGGAATGAATTATGCTAGCTAAATATTTTAATTGATTTATGCCTTGTATACTTCGATAAATCATTATTTCATGATGATCAACGGAACAAGAGTGATTGATTTTATCAATGTGATCAGTATCAGGTAGTTTATGATTATTACCACTAGTAGAATTCATTGAAAACCAATAATTCATATGTGTAGGACATGATTTATTACGTTCCATTGAGTGAGCATGTTCATTCATTCTTGGTTTTGAAATGGCTATATACACGAGAGGGAACAAATACAAACAGACAAGGTAATTCAATTGAACAAAAAGTGTTTTATTGATTGTTCACACTGAAAATAAGCAGAACTGTCAGTCAGTCATTCAATCGCATAAAACGTAGAACTTCCCACGTAAATACATCAGTTCACGTTGCATACCACATTAGCACTGAGACGCCACTGTCAGTTCAATTACGATAGCGGTAGAGATAGTAAAAGTCTTAGCAGTAATGGAAAAGGTTTGGGTACGAAGATATGATACAAGAAGTATAATTCAGTAAGATAAATTTAGAAGGAGAAAGGTAGAGATAATGAGGAATTCAGAAGCTTAGGAACACAAAAAATGGATGCACTTGCGCCATTGCAAACCATTTTGAGCAATTGAATTCAAGGTCTCCAACCACCGGTGACTTTCGTCTCGCGGATCCCAACCAGGTAGCCTACATCTACCAACATGAATCAGTCCACCTGACAGTGATTTCATGGATTTCTGCCATGTTTTGATCTGGCCGCCCGCCCACTAGGTTTCTTCCAATCTACTCCTACACCACAGCTGTCTTCGGTAGGTAACTGCCTCACACAGTTGAACTCCACTAGCTACGGTTTCTCACTGGAACTTTGAGAATTTCCTCACGAAACTAGTCAGTAGTGATTACATGATATTTGTTATGTGACTTTTATGCAAAATCAGATTAATTATAAGCAATACGCAGTAGATAAGTGATATGCTTTTATATATCTTGAAATGGTTCCTCTAAAAAATGTTACGTGCTTTTGACGATTTTATGAGGAATATTTTACTTACTGTTTTATTGTGGTTAGTATGCTCTTACCGATAAAAGGATAATTGTAGTCTGAACAGACTTGATTTTGTTTTGCACTAGTAATAGGGCGTGGTTTAGAAGTAGGTTGGAAGAAATCTAGGGATGGCCAGACCAAAACATGACACAATTCCATGAAGTCACTGACAAGTGGACTGAGTCATGATACTAAATGTTTACTATCTGGTTAGGGTCCGCGAAATGATCGCAATCGAGGATTAGAGACCTAGAATGACATGGTTCAAAATCGTTGGCAATGGCTCAGGTGTGTCCACTCTTTGTGTATCCCAAATTCTAATCTGAGTACCTCATTACCTTTATCGTTATCTTCTTAAATTTATTTCACTGGATTATACTCCGTGAATAATATCTTCAAACCCTAATCTCTCAGATTACTGCTAATAATTTTAATACTTCTACTACTATGGGATTTGAATTGACAATTGCGTCTCTGTGTCAATGTTGTATGGCGACTTGAACTGGTGTACATACGTACGAAGTTTTACCATGTTGCTGACTGACTGAGTGACTGATTTGTTTTGTTTGCAATACAAAAACGTTTAGTACAATAAGGCATCATAAATACGCTACCTATTAAACTGGTAGATAAAAGGTTGATCAACGTTGGATGTTGGAAAAGCGTAATCGCAAATTAATGACCAAAATAAACGACAGGATCCTAGAGAAACGAAATAGTTCACGAAATTGTTTGTGATCATCAATCCACAGGATGACCCATCGCTCGACGTCAAACAATTGTTGAATAGAATGGATTTGTTTAGGTCAAAGGTTTTAACTGTGATCTCTCTTCTAGGGAAATAATCTACTTCGAATGGAGAAAAGGTACAGAATCGCAGTCCTAACCAGCATTGACCATTGCGTAATATGTTTCCCGATGTTCCATTGTACAAAACATTTACGAATGAGATAGATAACTCATAATGATATGAATCATCTTAGCATGAAACAACTATTACATATACAAATCGAATAAAATTTAAAAAAACGTACATTTCATTTGCGACGGATATGTCAATGAGGTGACAATTTGTGATGCAGGTGCACCAGCAAAAGGATTTTCACCTAAATAAGATATTTCATGTGAATTAATATCATCAACAGTATCATCCATGTTGGATGGTTGTTCATTTTCTTTGTCTGCCATTTCAGCGTCACCCGTTTGTGAGTCTGAATAATAATGACATGATTGGTTTAATTGTTTACCAGATTGATGAAAAGGATCCAAAAGTATACGAATACATGCCTACAAAGGTAGCCGTAATGAAGAATGATTACAAAAATGTCTATTTGGCTACAGAATCATAAGTACAAATACTGGTATATACATATACATATATTTGTTACGCCTGCACTTCAACTTGAAATACTTGAACTATTACGAGTTGACCGAGTCGGCAAACGAGAGCGAGGATCGAGGATCCAGCAACACGACATGCTACTCAAATCCGATTATCCCAACCCCCCATATTTAGTAAAAGAAGACAAGACTTGATATGAAGTAGAACCTGTATTCTACAAGCATCCAGAAAGTACGAGTTCCGAATCCAGAAGAGAATCAAGATCCCTGACTAGGGATCCGGGTCCTGGTCGTGGTCACAAAACGTTACAGATCATGCGTATTTATACAGTTTGGTCGAATAGGAAACAGCATCGAAGTGTGTGACATTGACAGTTAAGATGACCAATAGGAATCAAGATTTGAAGTGAGATTGATAGTCAGGACAACCAATAGAAACAACATTGGAGCATGTGACATTGATATCTAGGACGAACATAAAATTGACCAGTAGGAATTAACCAATAGGAATTGACCAATAATTCTCTTAGGATATTGGATGAATATCCTAACAATATATATGGTGATTTTATCAGATACAGCATTTGAAACGTTTGTAGTGCATCCACATTTATTTGCATCCGCTTACATTTAATTTGCTTAAGCCCTTTCGATTAATTTATTTAACCAAGCCATTTGTATAGCAACAACTCATATGTACCATTGGTATTTTTTATTATCTGCTTTGTATGAGCTTATACGACTGAGCATTGCTTACGCTTACGCACTTACTCATCCTTTTCGCTTTAATGTTAATCTCGTAATATTCCCATGAACTCACATGATTTGTATCGCTTGCTTTTGACCTTGTCAATCATTCGTCGCTTTTATTCATGTGTGTGCATACCTATTTCGCTTGTCATATGTCTGTCTTATTCTTATCTGACTATATATTCTTAGTCATACTCTATCTCTTTGAGTTGGCTCAACAGCCTTCTCCTATTCGCTTCACTCATTCGTTCGCATTGTAATCCAAAGAGTTGGCTCTTAGCCTTCTCCTATTCGCTTCTCTGCTATCATTATTGTGGTGTGCTACAATAAACGTATACGATACTTGGAGTTCATCTTCTGATTTATAAACCGAGCTTAAGAACACGCAGTTATCGGCACACTACACGTTTAATCTAAACTAAACTATTGTGGAGGATACTCTTAGTAACGTGGTTTATGAGTAATATGTAGCGGAATGTCACGCAGAAGTTACTACGGAACAGGAGGGGTCGGTTCCGCAAGTATAGTGCGATCAAAGTGTTTTAGAGACCGGAAGACCTGTAAGATAATGTAAATAAATTTTGTTAGCAAACTTTATCTTCTTCAAATCAGTTAGTCAGTTAGTTACAACAACATAGAACTTTGTACGTGCGTGCGCCAGTTCAAGTAGCCATACCACACATACCACACAGATGGAGTTGTCAGTTTAAATTCAGTAGTAGTAGAGTTAGTAACCGTATTAGTAGTAATGGAAAAGATTAGGGATTGAAGATATGATCCCACAAGCATATCACAGTGAAATATATTTAAAAGGAGAAAAAGATGGTCATGAGAAATTCAGGAGATTAGAATTTGAGAAAAGACAAAGAATGGATGCGCCTGAGCAATTGCAGACAATTGTCAACAATGTCATTCAAAGTCTCTAACCATCGGTTACTATCATCTTGCGGATCCCAATCAGAAAGTCGACATTTACTAACAAGTCTCAGTACAATGACTTCATGGATTTGTGACATGTTTTGGTTTGGCCGGCCGTAGCTTTCTTCCAGCTTACCCCTACATCATACAACATCGCTCATCGAGGCAGTCAGTGGGTGGGCATACGTAACACATTTCGAAACCACCTGAACTGATGAAGATTCACTTTATTAATTTATTTGCCATCCTTACGTGTTACCATTTTCCTAACACCTGCACTACTCATTCCATTAGCCCAGGATATACGAGCAATGCTTTGAAGACACCGATGATCGAATACTAGTAACCTACGAATATTTTTTATTCTTAGTGTCCATTTCTTACACCTGTAAAGTAGGACGGAGCGAAGTGCTTCACAGTAAAACCTGCCATTCGGTTAGCAAACGGTTATCTAGCCTACGCCATAAGTGACGCAAGTTGGCGAAAGCCAGTCGAGCTTTCTGTATCCATACCAAGATCTTGTCACACACCAGACCATCAGCACTGATAAGACTCTCGAGATAAATGAAGCGGTTAAAACGTTCAACTACTTAACTTCCTATCTCCAAATACATTATTATTCCATCTGGCCTCGATATCTTTGTCCATTACACTAGTATTTAACTTCATTAACCAATAAGTCTAAATGATAAACTTTTGAAAAATGAAACAATCGTCCAGTGGATAACATTCTAGTGTTGAAAACAACAAGTATTGAATTCACGTTCCATTCTGCAGAAAGGATCTATGCGACATTTAAGCAACGTAATCTATTTTATTCATTGAAATGATAAACTTCACAAGGTTAGACCATTTGGAAGCACTGAATGAATTTTTTAGTCCTCGAATGGGCGCATCCACCACAATCCCACAAACAGGAATCGAACCTAAAACCTTCAGTCTTGCATAGGAAAGATTATAAGTAATTACTGCTTTTATCGGATAAATTTTCTTATTAAAATAAATCTTTTCTCAAAATCACATATTTACTACATAAATTATCAACCTAAAATGGATAGTTGAATAAAAATGCAACTTACTTGTAATTGCTCTTCTATTCTTCGTATTAAATAAGGTACAGATTCAGTAAATCGTTTAACCACTAAATTTAATCGTGATATATAACTATCAAATGGTTGGATCTCATTAACAATATCTGATTGACGTGGAAGTAATTTACTTAACCCTGTAAGATAATAATCTGATATTAACCAAGTGAAATCTTCTGAACTTGTAAAAGATTTGGTCAATAGTGTCTGGGGATTAGTATTAATGCTGTTCCTGAAAAAGAAAACAAGTATTGGTATTGAGAAGACTGAGGCAGGCGAGGAATATTGTATTATGCAAATTTACACTCTGAGTCCATTGAAAACAAAAACATTACATTGAACACACTCTATTTGCACACCATCTTTGAGTCGTGACTTCCAACGCTCCATCCTTCTTCCATTCCTGCTGTTGCTTCCTTTCCTTCCTGTTTATACTCCATTCACTTCTTGCTTTTGCTCCATTTGCTTTCCGTTTTCCTCTTCTGACCGTGAGACTTCTTTCACGTCCCTTCTTATACTACTTATATCGTTCGTATAAGTAGCACACACCACAGTATATATTAGTCTGTATTCCTGTTCATGAAGAAATATTTGGGCCAAAAATAGATTCAGCAAACACCTAACTGGAGTTATTTTTGAAAAACTATTACTCTGCCATACAACATGACCTAAATTTCAAAGGATAGTAGATTTACCAAACGAGGTATTATTTATACAGCTCCACTTTATAGTTGTATGTAGGTAGGTATATATAATCCGAAATTGATTAGACCGCCTGATAATGTTCCATTGACAAAATAATTTTTGAACAATAACCCTATTAATATAACAGCTATTTCCCAGAGCGTTGAGTTAGCCGGTTCAATAGTCAAGGGGTTAAGCATTCACGAGCGCGACCAAACGTCTTGGATTCGATTCCCGCCTGCGGACGTCGTAGATGCGTACTACTGATGATTCTCATACTTGGACAATTAGACTGTTCAGTTATTCCAGTTCTTTAATAGTAGTCTAACATTGATCGATTCATGAAATCAATGACACTCAACAATCTCAGAAAGCCTTAATGATAATTACATACGGTTATGACAAGTAGTAGTTAACTGATATTGAAGCCATCTGTTCTAGAGTAGTTTATGCAATTGTTCATATTTAGTACATGACAAATTATGGAATTATGTAACCAGCATTCTTTACACTTCATATTCTTTTGGTTTATTGTGATAATTTGAATATGCTACTCTACTAGATTTATGTCTCAGAAGCATAGATTCTGTGGAGTTGTGTACACTGAATTGAATAATTTGTTTGTGAATGTTTACCGAAAAACAATTCTAATTTAGATGTAGCATAAGTATGAGAAGTAATCGGAAAGATTAAGGTTCGAAGATATGATTCAAAAAGTAGAAACTAGTGAAATCAATTTACAAAGAGAAAGATAGAGGTGATAAAGAATTCAGAAGATTAGAATTTCAGAGAACACAAAGAGTAGATGCACTTGCGCGATTGCAAACGATTTTCAGCCACGTCATTGACGGTCTCTAACGATCAGTTAGTATCATCTCACCGACCCCAACCAGATAGTCTACACTTATTCACATGGCTGAATCCACTTGTCAATGAATTCATGGATTTGTGCCATTTGTTTGGTTTGGCTGCCCCAATCATAGTTAATTGTTAGGAAGTCAATCAGTTGGTTGTAAATTCCCAAAAGTAGTGTACATATAACATTTTATTCTCGAAATATATATTTTCAGCCATCAATCCAAGATATTGGTTTCTTTTAGGCTAATGATCAATACTTCAAGGTGTTTATGACAATTAAGATAAATCATAATAATAATAATACTAATAATAATAATAATGGTAATAATAATAATCTGACCTGTTTTTTTCATTTTGAGGAATTGAAATAGATAAATCTAATAATTCTGATAATAATTCCGAATTTCCTTTTGTGAATTCATTGAAAGACTCAATAGTTGAAAAAGCACATGATCTAATTCGATAAGATAAAGGATAATTTGAAGAAGGACTATTTAACAAATCTGTAGTTTCAACCGATGCATCAGTTAAAGATACAGGAATCTGGTGTATACAATGTTCTGGAGAAGTAGTAGTATATAATGATCTTGTATCAGGTGATACAACACATCGTTGTCGTTTCCTTGATGGATAATGATTCGACAATGTGATTTCATCAGTATCTAACAAGTGTACATTTTTATCAAAAGTTTGTTGTGTAGTAGTATTAGTAGTAGTAGTAGTAGTAGTATCTGATTTATCATCGAAATTATTTGTCACATTCACATCCCATATTCGACCATCATATGGAATTTTATGCCGTTTACTAGGAATTGGAGTAACTGGTGCAGGAAGGTGAAAATCTGTGCTTGGTGCACAAACTGCAGGTGTTTTTAATTTTTGATTAGAAATAGAACTAGGATTTGGAGAAGTTAAAGAGATGAGAATTTGTGATGCAGGAGAATATTCAACAGAGCGTTCTAAAATTTATAAAAAAAAAAGAAATAGTAAAGATGAATACAGAGTTATAAAAATTTTAAATGCCTACTATCCCTTGACTACCTTGACGTGGTGGTCGGGCTTGCCTATCGTGATGACCCAACTGAGCTATACTGGCTGGAACATATGTTCCTGCAGGTCCTACCATGCCAGGCTGGTCGATTGGAGAACGATGAGACTAAAAGCAGCTAATCAAGGTCTGAGGGCGAAGTCGTACTGCTGACTGCAGATGAAGGGTTAGAAAAGATCGACCCTAAATATATCATACCTACCCTAACTCACGGATTTCCGTCTCCTTGGGTAAGGGTGCCCACTAAGGGCCTTTAAGAACGGAGCTAATCCTCAAAAAACCTTTCATAAAAAGGCCGTGCGTGACCGACCTCAAGCAGTTGTCCCTTGGGCTCTGTGGTCACGCACCCAGGTCTCTAAGACCAACACTAATCTATCTCCCTTTTCAGGTTCGTCAAGAAACAACCTTCCACGGTGTGGGCAGCCGGGAAGTGACAACCGCCCTCATACCCGTAACAGCACGCGAGACCAAATTGGTCAAAATCAAATCCTTCCTACACCCCCTAGTACCTCTCTTATCTCCACGACCAACCCTTCTCACATTCATTTATCACAGTGCACAGATAATGCAAACGATACGAGTTCACGAAACGTCGTTCCTGGTCTCCTTAAACCCTGTTCTAGACTACATGTTGGAGCATTTAATGTACGGACATTGTGTCTAATAGGGCAACAGGCATCATTAGCTAGGACTTTAGAATCTCGTGCCATCGATGTATGCTGCGTCTCGGAAACGCGCATACAGGATCCTAGTAAAATTATTAATCTGATTTCACCTTATCAAAATAAAGAAGCAACTCGATTTACCCTTCGTGTATCCGGTAGCCCTGATGCGGCTTACAGGGGTTTTGCTGGAGTAGGCATAGCATTGAGTCGTACGCAATGGCGCAGGTGCATTTATTCTTTGTGTTCTCTCAAATCCTAATCTTCTGGATTCTTCAACACCTCTAGTTTTGACTTTCTAAACTTTTCTCATTTAATCATACTTCTTGAATAATATCTTCTCATCCTAACCTCTCCGTACTAACTCTTCTACTATTGGATTTGAATTGACAATTATACCTCTGTGCTGATGTGGTATGGCGACATGAAGTGATGTACTTGTGTACGAAGTTCTACGTTGCATCTGACTGACTGACTGAAATGCCTACTATATAAGTACATTCAATAAAATAAATGCAAAAATTGAAGAGACTTATGTGTGGAGGATGTTTTACTCAGAATTTAGTTAGTCAGTCAGTCAATCAATCAGCTACAACGTAGAACTTCATACGTACATACGTACATCAGTTCAAGTTGCCATACCACATTAACACAGAGATGCAATTGTCACATCCAATCCCAGATTAGTAAAGGTAGTAGAAGTATTAGCAGGAATCGAGAAGACTAGGGTTCGACAAGGTTATTCAATAAGAAGAATCTAGTGAGAGATGTGATGGGGAACTCAAAAGGTTAGGATTTGAAAGAACACAAAGAATGAATGCACCGGCGCCATTGCAAACGGTTTTGAGCCATGAATTCACTACACCTTTTATGTTTGCAACATTAGAAGAAAACACCGGTTATTGTTGTGACTAGGGATATCGATCATTGAATTACATGATAGGTTCCAGTAGTCCCATTGATTTTATACATCATTGATCCGAACTTTAAATCCATATGTCTAGATCTCGACAGACAGACAGATACAACTCAGAACTTCGTAAGTTAGAACATTAGTTCAGGTTGCCTTAACACATCAGCACAGAGACGCAACTGTCAGTTAAAATCCAAGAGTGATAGCGATAGTAGAATTATTAGCAGCAATGGAGAAGAGTAGGTGTGGTGCTGTGGTGCGAGCTACTTATAAGTAGTATATGACGTGAGCGTCAACGTAATGTCTGGCAGCAGAAGATGGGGGAAGATCAAGAAAGGAAGAGTTAGAACACAATCGAATTTGTATGAAACGCATGAATAGTGACAATGGATTGATGTTTTGCAACAGGAACAGTCCAGTTCGATATGATGAACTGATATTTTGCAAATGAACGATTTACGATATGGTTTTCCAATTTTACTGAGTAACTCTGTAATTTTCGTTAAATACAATTCGGTTGCCCCATCTGTGTTCTCGTTCACTACATAGGGAGCGAAGATATGATTCGAGAAGTATAATTCAGTAAGATAAATTTAGAAGGAGAAAGGTAGAGATTATCAGGAATGCAGAAGCTTAGAATTTGAGAGAGTACAAACAGTGGATGCACCTGCGCCATTGCAAACGATTCTGAGCCGTGTCTTTCAAGGTCTCTAACCATTGGTGACTTTCGTCTCGCGGACCCCAACCAAATAGCCTACATCTAGCAACATGACACAATTCACTAGTCAGTGACTGCATGGATTTCTGCCATGTTTTGGTTTGGCCGCCCCTAACTTTCTTCCAGCCTACTCCTACACCGTCTATGATGCTGCCCAGATATGTAAAGGCATCCACGTCGTCCAAGGCATCTCCAGCAAGAGTAATTTGGTTAGCACATGTTGTGTTGCCTTGGAGAATTTTGCTTTTTCCTTTATGTATGTTGAGACCTACTGCTGCAGAGGCTGCTGCTACACTTGTCATCTTCTCTTGCATTTGTTGTTGAGTGTGCGATAGAAGAGCCAGGTCATCTGCGAAGTCCAGATCGTCCAGCTGCGTCCTAACTGTTCAGTTGATACCGTGCTTCACTCCAGATGTCGACGTCTTCATAATCCAGTCGATGACCAGAAGAAAGAGAAAGGGTGAGAGTAAACAACCTTGCCTGACACCGGTCTTCACCTCGAAAGAGTCTGTTAGCTGTCCTCCGTGTACGATTTTGCAGTTGAATCCATCATAAGATTTCCGTATGATGTTAACTATTTTTTCTCAGGCACACCGTAGTGTCGAAGAAGCCTCCACAGTGTTTTCCTATCCATGCTATCGAATGCTTTCTCATAGTCGATAAAGTTGTTGTAGACTAGCTTACTGACAGATAATATGAAAACACAAAATACCAAGAAAATAGTAAAATTATTTATATCAATTATAATCATATCACATTAATTAATTACTTACTTACTTACTTACCATTTGCTAATTGTTTACTAACACTAACTTCTTCTTTTATACGAGCTAATTCACTGCATACCAATCGATAATCCGCTTCACGAAATGCCATTTGAGCATTTAATTCACTTAATTTACGTTGAAAATCATTTCGTTCAGTGGTAAGATGTGATTCTAGCTTACTGATCATATCAGAATCAGTTGCTTTTGTTCGACTAGCTAATTCTTTAATTGTAGCAAGTTCACCTAATTTCATGTATAATTCTTCACGTAGAACAGATACCTAAGAGAAAATTTCAAATGTTAAAAAGAAATTGTTTAGTTTTATTATAGGATATAATCGTTTGGACTACTAAATATACCAGTTACATACAGTCAGTCAGTCAGTCAGTTGCAACGTAGAACTTCGTACACAAGTACATCAGTTCATGTCGCCATACCACATCAGCACAGAGGTATAATTGTCAATTCAAATCCAATAGTAGAAGAGGTAGTAAGGGAATTAGAAGTAATCGGAGAGGTTAGGATTAGAAGATATTATTCAAGAAGTATGATTCAATGAGATAAGTTTAGAAAGTCAAAACTAGAGGTGCTGAAGAACCCAGAAGATTAGGATTTGAGAGAACACAAAGAATAAATGCACTGGCGCCATTGTGAACGATTTTGAGCCATGTCGTTCAAGGTCTCTAACCATCGATTATTATCATCTCGCGGACCCCAACCAGGTAGTCGACAACTACCGACATGGCTCAGTCCATTTGTCAATGACTTCATGGATTTCTGCCATGTTTTGGTTTGGCCACCCCTAGCTTTCTTCCAACCTATTCCTACACTACAAAACAAAGCTCGTCGAGGCAGTCGGCGGTTAGGCATACTCAGCACATGTCCCAATCACCTCAACTGATGAAGTTTCATTACTTCATCTATTGATTTGCCATTCTTACATAGCACCCGATTCCTAATAACAGCGTTGCTCACTCGGGTGTCCCACGATATACGAGCAATGCTTCGAAGACACCTATGATCGAAAACCAGTAACCTACGAATATCTTCTACTCTCACTGGCCATATTTCACAGCCATAAAGTAAGACGGAGCGAACTACTGCACAGTACACTCGTCCTTTAGTCAGCAAACGGATATCTCGCCTACGCCATAAATGACGCAGGTTGGCAAAAGCCAATCGAGCCTTCTGTATCCGTGCTGAGATTTCGTCAGTCACCAGGCCATCGGCACTGATGAGACTCCCAAGATAAGTGAAGCGGTCTACACGTTCGACTACTTCACTCCCTATCACTAGTTCAGGTGCCGATGAAACCCAATCTTGAAGCAACATTTTGCATTTCGAGGGGGAAAACCGCATCCCGAACATGCTTGCATTGTTGCTCAGGGTGGTGCATACATACACACAATAAGAAACAGATGTCAATTTTAAGTTAGAAGGGAAACAGTTCAATAAATTTGGTGTGTTTTTTTTTAGCATTTATACAAATGTTCATTCCATCCTGTTCAATAGTCTAAATGTTATTAAGTTAACTGTGGAAAAACGATGTTACGATTTTTAAAAAATGGTTGCCTAATATTAAAGCAGTACAGAATCCGAGATAAATTCTTACTGCCTTGGCTAAATTTTAAGAAAAACACATAGCTTAAGTTTACAGTATATGAATCTGCTCTAGGAACTAAATTTACACTGGAAAAAAGTCACAGTAATTTTTTAAAGTGTTTAATTCATTTTTATTACAAATCAGTCAGTCAGTCAGTCAGTTGCAACGTAGAACTACGTACGTATGTACATAAGTTCATATTGCCATACCACATGAGCACAAAGACGCAGATATCAAGTAAAATCCCATAGTGATAAAGATAGTAGAGGTATAAATGGTAATGAAGAAGACTAGGGGGTTTGAAGATATTATTCAAGAAGTACAATTAAGTGAAATAAGGTTAGAAAGACAAAGGTAGAGGTGCTGACGAATCCAGAAGATTAGAATTTGAGAGAGCTCAAAGAATGGATGCACTTGCGCCATTGTAAACGATTTTGAGCCATGTCGTTCAAGGTCTCTAACCATTGGTGACTTTCGTCTCGCGGACCCCAACCAGGTAGTCTACATCTACCAACATGACTCAGTCCACTTGTCAGTGACACCTCAACTGATGAAGTTTCAATACTTCATCTACTGATCTGCCATCCTTACCTAGCACTCGTTTCCTAACGACAGCATTGCTTACTCGGTTGTCCTACGATATACGAGCAATGCTTCTTAAACATCTATGATCGAATACTAGTAACCAACAAATCCCAGTAATTATTAATTATATGGCCATAATTTTACATTTTAAAATAACTTAAGTTCTTAGAAGAACTGAAGCAAACAGAGTTTGATCCCTGGAAAATAAAGAAAGACATTTACTATCTCTTAACAATAACTGAACCTTATGGGTTTTTTTTAAAAAGCAAGTTTAATTAACGAACGATACATGTTAAATCCTTGTATAAACATGAAATTATATATTCTGAGCAAGAATGATTCAATAAACCCATTCAACTATCATAGTTAGATGAGGGTTTTTCTTTTTGTCAAAACCTTATGTTTAATCAAAACATGAAACTTACTTCTTTTTTCAATCGGTCAAGTTCATTTCGTTCAACCGTTGGAGTTTTATCATTCGATGATGAAAAATCAGATGCTTTTATGCATCCATTCAATTTTGTATCTAATGAAGTTGATCGAGATAAGCAACTGGTTAATTCTAAAAGTTATTATAAAGATTACAATGAAATGAACTTACTATTTGAATGCGAATTATTTTTATTGACATTGTTATTACTGTATGTTGACACTAAAAAAAAATTTCATAACCTACTTGAGTAGTTGCTTTTTACTTACCATGATCATACTGGTGTTGTGTACAAATAAGATCGAATTGATCTAATATCTCTTGAGTAAGTTCATCGTCATCCATGTGTACAGAAGATTGTTTTTTTCAAATTTTAATCAATGTAAATTAACCAAGTAGAGGATTATGTCTGTCGTTAAAAAAAAAGTGAAAAAGTATTTAAATTAGAGATGTTTACAAGTTAGACGATATGATTCCAAAACTAATCTTGTTTATTTATCAGTTATAAGATTTTCATAAAAAAAATTTGTCAAAAAAAAAAACAGATTGACTAAACTTTACAAGTCAGTTAAGATTTATAAACTGAAAAATTTTTCTCCTTTAGTAAAAACTCACTAGTTGGGTGATTGTTAGAGTTAAGTAACCAAAAAAATCTCATCAAACAACATTAGAAAGTATCAACATCTTCTGATAGAAGTGGATTTTAAAAAAAACACGTGCCACCAGTGGTATGCTGAATGCAGTTATCTTAACTTAAGTTAAGTTAAGGCTAGATTACCAACTTTACATCAGAATCTAATTAACTGTTTGTAGTTGAATATGAAGTGACCAAAAAAGAAATAAAGTACACCAAGAAATATGTAAGCAACTGATTTAATCTTAATGAGATACCTTAAAAATGAGAAAATTTGTCGCGATGTGTACTGTGCATAAGTCATCAGAGTCGATAATGTTTATTGATAAACATATGCTTAAATATCCATGTGAACCTTCTATACTCATCAACTTAGTATAAATGTTGGATATTCGCATATTGTCCTTTAAATTCCGTAAACAACATCCTGGCTAGATGACTGACGAAATCTCAGCACAGATACAGAAGGCTTGATTGACTTTCGCCAACCTGCGTCACTTATGGCATAGGCGAGATATCCGTTTGCTAACCAAAGGACGAGTGTAGTGTGCAGCACTTCGCTCCGTCCTACTATACAGATGCGAAATATGGTCGAGACGAGAGTCATCAATGGTTAGAGACCTTGAACCACATGGCTCAAAATTGTTTGCAATGGCGCAGGTGCATCCACTCTTTGAGCTGTCTCAAATCCTAATCTTCTGGATTCGTCAATACCTCTGCCTTTGTCTTTATAATCTTATCTCACTGAATTATATTTTTTGAATAATATCTTCGAACTCTAGTCTTCTTTATTAACATTAATACCTCTACTATCTTTATCACTATGGGATTTGATTTGACATTTGCGTCTCTGTGCTAATAATGTGGTATGGCAACATGAACTTATGTACATACGTACGAAGTTCTACGTTGCAACTGACTGACTGACTGAAATATGGTCGGTAAGAGTAAAAGATATTCGTAGGTTGCTTGTCTTCGATCATAGGTGTCTCCAAAGCATTGCTCGTGTATCCTGGGACAACCGAGTAAGCAATGCTGTTGTTACGAAACGAGTTCTAGGTAAGGATGGCAGGCCAATTGATGAAGTAGTGAAACTTCATCAGTTGAGATGATTGGGACATGTGTTATGTATGCCTAACCGCCGACTGCCTCATCAAGCTATGCATTGCGATGTAGGAATAGGTTGGAAGAAAGTTAGGGGCGGCCAAATCAAAACATGGCAGAAATCCATGAAGTCATTGATAAGTGAACTGAGCCATGTTGGTAGGTGTAGACTACCTGACTGAGGTCCGCGAGACGAAAGTAACCGATGGTTAGACACCTTGAACGACATGGCTCAAAATCGTTTGCGATAGTGTAGGTGCATTCATTGTGTTCTCTCAAATCCTAACCTTCGGAGTTTCTTATCACATTTATCGTTTTCTTTCTAAATTTATTTCACTAGATTCTACTTCTTGAATAGTATCGTCGAACCCTACAATTTCCGATTACTTTTAATACCTTTACTAGCTCTACTACTATGGGATTTGAGGTGACAATTGCATCTCTGTGCTAATGTGGTATGACAACTTGAAATGACGTACGTACGTACGTACGAAGTTGTACGTTGTTGTTGATTGATTGGTAGCGAGTTACCATATCACACTGGCAAAGCGAAGTGAAAGTAATGAGACAAATAAATAAATAGCTATGATAATGACAATAACTGGACATTCGGAATATGCTCTGAAAACACAGAGTGGAAAAGCGTGTATAACGGA